GTCTCTCCGAGCGGAGGATGCTATTCGACTTTCTGCATTTGACCACCGATGTCTCCGAAGCATTGCTCGTGTCTGGTGGGAGCACCGGGTGAGCAATGACGAGGTCCGTCGTCGTGTGTTGAGTGTGGATAGTCGTTCTCTAACAGAAGTAATCGCTCTACACCGCCTCCGATGGCTTGGTCACGTATTGCGTATGGCTGCCCATCGACTACCTTTCCGCGCCTCCGATGGCTTGGTCACGTATTGCGTATGGCTGCCCATCGACTACCTTTCCGTGCTCTCTTCGAAGGTGCCCGGCAAGGCTGGAAGAAGCGATGCAGCGGTCAGACCATGACATGGGCTAGAGGCATGAAGAAGCTGGCTTCAGTTGGTGCAACCCGCCTTCCAGGTTGGGGCCCAAGGGATAAGGATTGTCGCTGATTAGAGACGCTGAGAGATATGGCCCGGAATAGAAGTCAGTGGCGCGAATGCTGTACGATCTGTCTATCGAAATCCCATGCCCCGTAAAAACCACAAACAACAAAAAAGAATTTCAAAAAGTGTATGGTGAAACACCCAAAAAATAGTTATTCCACTTATTCGTAATCTCCTACTCTGACAACTACATCGCTCCCCTATACTCTTAACCCCAACCCCCCTCCTCGTTATCGTTATTGGTAATATTGTTATGGCGTCTATTAAAGGACGGAAAACTCGAACCTGGTTACAACCAACGAACGCCAGAAACGACTGATGGTAGTCGATTACAGTCAGACAATTAACTCATTCACCCATTGATGACTTGATGGGGAAAATTGCCGAATACAGTATTTATAGCACTTTAGACTTGATGAGTGCCTATCATCAAATACCTATAAAGGAAATGAACGAAGTTATACAGCTTTCGAAGTATGCAAAATCTTCACCAATTTCGTCGCGTACCGTTTGGAGTAACCAACGGTGTCGCCTGTTCTCAGCGCACGATGGATGAGCTTGTTTGACGTGAAGGGCTCAAAGGAACCTTTGTATATGTAGAGAACATTACTGTCTGTGGGAAAGAAATCACGGACCACAACATCAATTTGCAGGCCGCTGCCAAACATGGTTTAACTCTAAATCACAACAAGTGTGTATTCACCTCTGAAGTAGTTCGACTGCTGGGTTACGAAATATCCAAAGAATGCGTCAAGCCGGACCCTGAACGCTTCGATGCCCTTCTCAAACTACCCCTCCCTCCAATTTGAAGGCACAACAGAGAGTAGTAGGAACGTTCTCATGCTATTCCCAGTGGTTTTCTCATTTTTCGTAAAAGATTCGCCCGCTAATTTTTAACACAATCTTCCCCATTCCCGATGAACTACTCGCCTCTTATGAATTATTGAAATCCGAGCTAATTCAAGCATCACTGGTTGCAGTCGATAAAGACACCACTAGTGGTCAAAACCGATGCCTGCTATATAGCAATCTCTGCTCCACTCAATCAAAGTGGTCACCCCGTGGCTTTTTTTCGCGCACCCTGTCATCCTCAGAGCGAAATCATTCTGCTGTAGAAAAAGGAACCTACGCAATAACTGGAGTCATTCGAAAGTGGCGGCACCACCTACTGGGTGCTCACTTCAGATTGGTTACTGATCAACGCTCCGTCGCCTTCATCTACGATATGAAAGTCAGCAGCAAAATCAAAAACGACAAAATATAAAGCTGGCGTATCGAACTTGGAAAACTGAGCGCATCAGAAGCTTGCCTAGGCGATAGTTGTGCTCTTCCCAGCCAACGAACAGATAACGGCGATCGACTTCGGTTCTGCGCAGACCATCATCTGTTCCCATCAAGCACCAACTTCCGATACGGCTCTCGACGGACGGCAACGTGGCGCTCCAGTTCAAGTTCAAATCGACTACATAGCAGTAGGTTACCGTTGGCGTGGCTCAGTGCAAAATTGCTGGATCACCTGCGTTGAGTCTGATCACGCAATAGTTTTCATACAGTTCACTCTTCGGTTGACTGGTCGACGACAAAACCAACAAACTCAGATAGTTCACCATCGACTATCTGTTCTAGCCGTTCGTTCACGCTGAGTCAGAACTACTGCGTGAACAAAGCGCACCTCGACGTGATGATTTAAATGAGCAGTGCTATCAGATTAGGCGAGCAATGCATTCCGCTGCGAATGTTGCTTGTGGGACTAAGCCTCAAGCCCAACAGAGGCATTGGATATCTGATGAGTCTGTAGCACTGATGGATCAAAAGCGACAAAGCCCGACCTGCCGAATCAAAACAAAGTTAGGTGGCATCTACAACGTCAGCTCACGAAGAGCATCAAGAAGGACCGTGATAACTGGTGGGTAACAATAGCTAATGAAATGGAAGTAGCGGCTGCATCAGGCAATAGTCAAAGACTGTTCCGACTGATACGTAATACGGGAGGTCGGCGAACTACAGTTAGTGAAGCAGTCTGCGATAAGAGGAGACAAGCTATTCACAATAGGGATCAACGACTCGATCGCTGGGCAGGTTACTTCAGCGAACAGTTCAGCTGGCCTAGTGCTATTCAGACTGCTTCATCTACAACTGAAGCTCTGTGGGCAGTATCATGCAATCCTCAAACAGAAGCAGAAGTTCGGTCTTGTATTCAATCTCTGAAGCGAGGAAAGGCAGCAGGACCGGATGAGCTCGCTCCCATTCTTTTCGAGATGGGAGGTGATTACCTCGTCACCTCTATTACTACGCTACTGCGCAAAATTTGGACGCAAGAACACATTCCTTCATCTTGGAGCGAGTCACTGATCGTTCCCATTTTCAAGAGAGGATGTCGCATTGACTGAAAATCACCGCGGGGTTAGTTTGATCACGAAAGTCACCAAATTGCTAGCTTCGGCGTTTGACGCCTTTAAGAGAGACCAACATCCGTGAACAGCAAGCCGGATTCCGGCCTAACTGTGGATGCATAAATTAAATTTCTACGTTGCGTCAGATCCTTGAGCTGCGTGAAACCCACAGTCGGCCAACGATCGCAGTGTTCCTTGACCTGAAAGGAACCTTCGACTCAGTTGACCGCGAAGCTCTGATCGGCTCCATTCTTCGAAAAGGAATGCTCCATAAGTACGTTAACCTACTGAGGTCACTGTACTCACATACCTCCGGTCGTGTAAGGGTCTACAACAATTTAAGTAGGCCGTTCGTCACCAGCAGCGGCGTCTGTCAAGGATGCCCTCTTTCGCTGTTCCTGTTCAATTTCATCTTAGACGAAATACTGGAGAATGCACTAAGTAGACTTCACAACGTAGGTATTGAATAGGCAGCTGGAGAAAAGCTGTGTGATTTAGAGTACGCCGATGACATCGTCTGTTTGTTCGAATGTATCGGGGACGCGCAAAACGCACTTGACAGATTAACAAGTGCAGTAGCCACATTCGGTATGTGCACCTTCAAAGTGCAAAGTGATGCTGCAGGACTGGGTGTCGCCTACTCTCGCTCTGAAACTAAATGGCCAGGATTTAGTTATGGTGGATTACTTTTCCTACTTATGTTGTTGCGTGACCAATGACGGTAGTACAGTAAAGGAAATAACCATCCGCATTTCCTAGGCTCGAGCAGCATACGCAGGACTGAAACATCTTTGGCGTAGGCGCGACGTTTCACTGAAGTTGCAAGGTCTTGCATATTGTGCTAGCGTTTGTTCAGTCCTGCTTTATGGTTATGAAACCCTGGATTTGCGCGTAGAAGACACCCGTCGACTGGAAGTTTTCGATTATCGCTGTTTACGTAGTTTAGCCCACATACGATGTAGCGAACAGGTTAGAAACATGGAGGTAAGCCGTCGTGTGTTTGGGAGTCTATCAGATATAAACCTGCTGGCACACCGAATTCAGATTAGTAGACTTCGCTGGCTAGGGCACGTATTGCGTATGCCCAGCCATCGTCTGCGGCACCGTGGCTTATTCGTTGTAGCTAATCCGGGCTGGAGGAAACCACGTGGAAATCAACAGATGACGTGGAAGCGAGGCATGAAGAAATGCACAGAGCCATTAGGTAGAGTAGGTGTCTCTCGCCTTCCAGGTTGGGGTCCGAAAGACTACACACCTGGTTGGTTGGAGACATTGAAGGATATGGCATTGAACCGGCAGCAGTGGCGTTCTTGTTATCGTTTCTTATCAGACTAGAACGCGTGAGACGGTATTTATGCAGAGTTCGATTATGCACGCTCTGTGTTGATCGTAGTGGCTCATCTTCTCCCTCCCTCAAAATAGGTCCCATCCCTGTCCATATTAAATCTCACCACTAACCCTGTGTGCCTTGGTAGCGGTCAGTGAAGTTCGCCTCACTATATTTCGCTGTACGATGACGATGATGATGTTAATGCCAGTCCTCCATCTGAAACAGAAGTTTCTCAGGGAATAAGTTATCTTAAACGGCATAAGGTCTCCGGCCCTAATGAGCTGTCCCCATCGGCTTGTAAAGATGAACCCTCAGTCGTAGTCTCGGAGTTAACAAAACTCCTGGGCTCAGTGTGGGAGACGGAACAGGTTTCAAATGAAAGGTGTGAATCGGTGATCATACCGATTTACAAGAAAGGTGACAGATCCTCTTGTGAAAGCACGTAGGAGTTAGTTGAATCAACATCGTCTCTAAACTTCTCGCTGGCATCATACTCCCTCGATTGTCTGCTGCACGTGAACGGTGCACGCGTGAGAACCAGGCTGGTTTTAAACCTGTTCGAGGTTGTATAGACTTCACTCTTTGTCAAATTCTGGTGCATGGACATTCTTTTCGTAGACTCGCCAGCACTATCTTCCTGGACATGACGCAAAAATATCTTCAAAAAGTGTACGAAACTCGATGGGTTACAACAGTCACACTGTAAGATGGATGGTTTGTGAAGCGAGAGGAATGTTTTATTGGCCTTTGCAGATAATAAATATTCTAAGATCTAATCTTCAACCCGTCCTTTGGCTGTTCAGGAAACTAAGGTCTTAATTACTGTATGTGATCATTTTCTTCTCCTTTCAATTTTTTCAGCAATGGCAACCAAAGCAGTGACTAAAATTGTTCGAAAAACCAAGGCTATTGTGGACAATGTTGTTCATCCCCCGTACCTAAAAATAACGATCCCTGCTCAGCAAGCCAAGCCTGCCCCTCCACTTGGTCCGCAGCTAGGCAAAGTTTGTTAATTGTTGCCTGCGTATATCATCAATTTTAATCCAACAGCGAAACATAAACATCGCTAATTTCTGCAAGGATTTCAACGAACGCACGAAGGATATTAAGGAGGGCACACCGATTCCCTGTGTAATAACTGTGAAGGTATGATCTTTTAAATACATTACTCCTTATTTTCAGCCCGATCGATCGTACATCCTGGAGACAAGTCATCCTGCCGCAGTTTATTTGCTTCGTCTAGCCGCGGCAGCTAAGAAAGGTGCATCCGAACCAGGTGTGTTTGTCAGGAATTATTCTCGTTCTATTGCACCAATCTGCCTAAAAATTCTAACACCCCTTATTTTTTAAAAATTTCATATGAGAGTGAACGCGAAAAGTTAATAAAGTGAGAAATGGTCTCCAAAATGTTGGCATTGACTGGGCAGTTGGAGAGAAACTGTGCAATTTAGAGTACGCTGACAACATCTTTTGTCCGTTAGAATGTATGGGAGATGCGCAAAGCGCTCTTGATAGAGTTCTGTATCATCATTATCGTACAGCGAAAACCATTGAAGCGTAATTCACTGATCGCTGTCAAAGTAGCTCCATTTGATATGTGCTTTGCAAAGTGATGCCGCAAGATTGGATGTGGTCGCCCTGGGCTCTGATCCTTGACGGTCTGGAATTGTAGTGGATTGTTTCTCCTACTTAAGTAGTTGGGTGACAAATGACAGTAGCGTAGTCAGGAAAGTAACCGCTTGGAGGTCAATAAATGTTGTGAAAACGAGGCAGAAAGAAGTGAGCGGAGCGATTAGCTAGGAAAGTTGTTTCCCGTCCTTCTGGTTGGGGGTCCAAAGATTCTGTAACTGGTTGGATAGGGACACAAGGATATAGCAACTAAACAACAACGTTCTTTTTATCAAGTCAGAATGCTTGAAGGTGTATGTATATACGGTTAGGTTTTGCACTCTGTGTGTTCACTTTCTTTGCTTTCCTCCAGTTAAGCCCAAACCCTAACCATCTTGTAATTCCTAACCTATTTTGTTTAAGTGGGGAGATTGGCAGCGGTCGGCGAAGTTCAGTTCTCTGTATCTCTACGTACGCCGATGATGGTTCGTTCCACAATTCTGCTGTTCATGAAGAAAAAGATGTCTGAATTTAGCAGTGCGACACCTTGGGATAATAAATTGGAATGAGTTACTAGCCGGTTGTTTACGGGTCCTACGAGAAGGGAAAGCTGAAAAAGCAACGGAATACGCAAGTTCGGTTGAACAGAAACCAAAATAGTGCCAGCAAATAAAAGGATAAAGAGGGAGTGGTCGTTGACAATACAGAAGTTAACGATTTGAGAGGGGGAATAGGAGAAATACGGGTTTGGAGTGGCGTCATCAGCATAGCTTCAGAATGGTCGGGATGGGTGTCTTGGGTTGTGGCTTGTCACCCTTCCCTTGCACCTCACGAACTACGACCACGCATCTCAAGTAACCCCTGCTGCCGAAGTCGTTTTCACTACCTTCTCGTGGCGGAGGTGTTTTGCCACCAAAATCAGAAGACGAAAAGCCAATGTCTGAGTCAGTGGATCCCTGGATTTTTACCTAGGGAATTTGGTTAGAAACCCTGATTCCAAACCAACCAAGAACAGAAGTGCGAGCCACACATTCACACTCACATTCCATTCAAGATTATCGTACTGTGATTTATTTTGGGATCATTCTAGACTCAAACGTGTGTGAGATCCGTGAATAGGAACAAAAATTGAGATAAGGAGGTCGTCAACTAATTTCAGGAAAAGTGTGGTGAAAGTACAGGTCCCTCGGCTACTGCAGCATTTACGGGTACGAAGCGAGACATGGACCCGTCGAACCGAACAGAATTGGTTGGTTCGTCGAAATAACTTGATGGCGGTGCACAGGTTCCGAGAGAAAACCAAGCTTGGGTCATTTAGAAAGCCAGATAAAAAGCTTTCTACATGTTCAGCGTTCCCATGTGTGTTTCGCCTTGACTGACGAGTGCCGCTAACCATGTATGCCGAACGAGCGCCAGCTTACGGTTAGGTCAGTGCGCCCGGAAACCGTACTGATTGTCTCCGGGTAGCTTTGTTTACTCCAAGTGACGACAGTTGATCAACAAGGACTGCATAATCGTTCAGATAACTGAAGTGAAAAATCTGGGGCCTCGGTTATTGTGGCGTGGTGGGAGGGGTCACGCTTGTGACTGGGAAATATATCAGATGTTTTTCAAAGGTTTGGGATACCCTAGGTTCGAGGGACAAGAAAAAACGTAGAGGGAGGGTCAGTTCTGGTGAGCACGTTTGGAAAATGATGAGAGGAATCACTTTGAGTCATGCGTTACGCTGTATTGTGTATTACGCTGTTCGATGATGCTGATGATGTCGAGTTCCAGTGGTTTGTGTGAATCACTTATTGAAAGGATTAGACTTAGCTCTGGTAGAAATGAGTTGTGTGAAACGATCACTTGGTAAGAAGATGTACAATACCACTATCCTTATGGGCTGTGATTCGGAGTAACTTCACTGTTCACTGTGAGTGAAAATCTCAAACGTATGGTTGTTTATCCTTACGATTACAATAATTTGTGTGTGTGTGTGTGAAGATCTCTTGTTTCAGAATTTGTCTTGCAGCCGTATTTATCTTCATTCAAACCGTTGCTCCCGTGATTTGCAGTTTAGTCACCAGAGTAATAATCTGTTTACTGATCATATCTGATTCATAGTCCATTTATCATTTTCGTTTATGCATCATAGGTAAAGAAACATGCGGTCGTCTCACATTGAAGCATATCTATCACATCGCCCAGTTAAAGAAACAAGATATGGCTTTTGAATCGCAAGATCTGAAAACGATTTGCACCATGCTGATTGGTACCGCTCATCGACTGGGAATTGAAATATTGTCGAAAGAAGCTCTAGACAAAGGGTTAGTTGATCATAGTCCCGCGGGATATGCGCAATTTATGCGTGACCGGGAGCTCTACTTGGAACGAAAAAAGAAAGAAGTGGAAGAGAAAAAGCAAGCAAAAATGATGCGCACCGGATGAATTGCCTCAGTTTTCAACGAGTGAATCGGTCAGTCTCTCTCTCACATATCGACGAAGGCTTGTTCTCTTGTCTTTTTGTTATTCAGTCGTAACTGTTCCGTGACCCATGATATCGTTTCCTTGTGAAGCTCAAATTACACTAATTAGGAGCGTGGTAATAGTTCCATCATAACCTGTTCGGGTTTGTTAGACTCCAAAAGCCTGTGTATTCTGTGGGTGGGTTTTTTGTGTTGTGGCTAGTCGCCTTTTTCTTGAACCTCGAGAAATGTTCCTAATGTGATCAGGATGGCCGCTGCAAGGAAGCTATAATCACATACTACGCGGCTCTCCAACGAAATTAGAGGGCTTTACTTCAATGCAGTTTGTACAGCCACTAACCATGCACCTTCATACGGCCATAACTGGCCATTCATTTAGGTTAGTTAGCAAGAAGTTCTGATTACACACCAACCAAGAAGAGGTGTGCAAACCTACAAGTCTCAGGCAAAGTGACCGGTTTGATTGAATATCGAGGTGTACTGGGTATCTAAACCTTTTGACACCTTCCAAAGGCATATGACTGGATGCACAGATCTCCGTACTGCGAGCTCTGTTGAACTGCCTTTCATTTCTAACATTGTAGTTACATGTTTCTTTTAGAGGCCCGAATGCTATTTCTTCTTTTTTCGGTCAGGCTTATCAGCACTGTATATGCACTCGCATCCTATGACTACTCCCCAGATTTTCTGTCAATCTTACTGTAATTAGTTGCGATATATGTGCATGTATGTTAGTTCGAACCACTGGATGCGATAATCAATGTGTGAACAACATTCAGTCATGGAGTAGAAATGTGATTTTCTTTTCAATGTGAAATGAATCTTTATCCCAGCAAACATTCAAACATAAACTAGGACATGTCAGCCAATGAATGCGTCACCGAAAACGAACTTTTTCACTGCTGTTTCTCTCACATACTATGTCAATGATACATCCACACAGTCCACTTTTCTCTCCGTCAATCCTACAGGTACCGTTTATCACAGCCGGACTGCATTAGCACTGACGTAGGCCATTTTGCATCAAGGGAAGAAGTAATAAATTCTACCTAGAGTTTTCTTCAGTGTATATGCACTTGTTCATACATGTATATTTATATTACTTCTTACCAGTTGAATAAATTACTATGAACGCCACTGATCGTTCCAGCTCCAGATCGTTCCGCCTCCTATGATTAGTCCATGGGAAGGTATTCTGCGTGGATACGCATGGTCTCTCTCTTCATGATACAGTGATGCGACCGGTTAGATAGGCTATCTCCAATATTCAGATGGCCATAAGCATTCTATACGATAACAGAGTTCTGTATAACTGCACACCTTTCAGAGTTACCTCGGTATTTGAATTGAAAATTCAAGGAAATCCAAAACACCCCCGGGTTATTTTCAACAGAGAGGGATGGAAAAACGTGTTCCTGGTTAAAATATTCTGGGCCCAATGTGATATGCAGTTCTCCGTTTATTTGAAACTCACATCGATTCTTTTTTTGAACCCATGGTTATACGGACAATTTCTATAGGAGGGAAAAGCGGCCATTGGAACATGTCATGTGACACTGAAATAGTGGAAGTTGGGCGGTGGTGATTGTCCCATTTAAACAATTGCGATCACTACATATATTCAGTGGGTTGACAGCGCTGTGTACTCACACGACATAGGAATCACCAGTCGGCAAAACAGTTTCTCTCCAGGATAGAGACTTTTTGTCAAAGAATACCTCATTACGAGCTTTAACGGAAGCAAAAAACATTTCTTTTTGTATTAGGCGCAGTACTAAGATTTAATAGCCAACGAAACGGTCGTATACTTCATTCCGTGATCATTGTACCATTATGAGAATGCCTCCACCATTTTCTGCGTCTAAATTAAGTTCAGTTATTGTAGTGCATTCCTGCCAGTTTCGTGACCCCTACCAGCTTTTGACGAAAGTGAACAAATGGGAATAGTCCAAAAACTGTCCACATGTGTTTCAGTAAAAGAAAGGATTACAGTAATCCGAGCAGTCCTTAACACATTTTGGTTTTAGATTTCGAATCATTCTCACGACTGACAGTTCCGACCTCGGATTGGGTGCAAGTAGCTCGCAAATTCCCGGGCGAGACAAAAGCTATCACACATACCGCAAGATTCTTGGCACCAGTGGGGCGTAGGTAGGAATCCTGAGATGTCATTTTTTAAATCGAATAGTTCCACAGAATATTAAAGTCTGCACTTTACTCTCATCACCGTTTTGGTTCAAAGAAAGACACCCCGTCTACATCGCAGATCGGTTAAAATCATGAGTTACAACCCTCTTCTACTTCAGCATTAAGTTCGCCGCGCTGGATAACATTGGTCAGTCCGGTGCCTTTTCGCGGCTCATCATTTCCTACAACTCTGCATCAGAAAAAGCAGTCATTTTATCAATCGCCTTGGGATCCGAAATGGAAGATATAAAGGAGACGATCAACCACCTATTATTGATCGCTAATGCGGTTGTTGAGACCCCTAGAAATAACACTGCAGCAGACAAAACACTACTACCAGTCACGCAGGTCATCTACTCGTCCATCCGGAAAACTGTAACAAAGAAATACCCTGTCGATCGTTTTTTTGCCGACCGAGTAGTTGTCCCAGAAACCCTCTAGAGTTTTGATCCATTTTCATTCGAAGACCCCAGTATAAAGTAGATGAAAGCTCTTGCCCGAAGTTGTCTGTTGGCGCAGTACGTCTAGTCAAGTATCTGCTTTATGCGCTCCGAGAGCATTAGGAAATACACAGCTATTGGGTAGAATTGGTTTCTCTCGTCTTCCAGATTTTTTTATTACAGCTTAGTGTGATGAGCTGCAGACGGCGTTAACTCCATAGTCACAAGGGCCGGCTGCTCAGTCATGGAAAGCAGTTACCTTGGGATGGCGAACCACATAAGACTAGGCGTGGTATTGAACCGGGCGACAGCAAAACTGTCTGACACTAAAGTCGGGTGGCGGTGGCGCGGCTCGAACCTCAGACCAATGAGTCCAGAGCACACCGGTGACATGACTAAGCCAGTGCACCGCTGGGGCCAAATAACTAGTTGGTAGGCTAGAGATAATGAAGCTGTTGATTATAGAGATTCACTTTCATTTCCCTTCCTTTAAAAGAAGTCCAATCTCTGTTCACCTTACATATTCTCATTAACTTTGTATACACAACGAGCTTGGAAGCGATCAATGCAGCTCCCTGTATTTAGCTGTGCGATGCTGATTGTAACACGTATGAATGTAAAAATGAACGGGGTCATCCTTATGCAGTGTAAATCTCATTTGCAGCTCAGTAAGTGCATTTGAGACGAACAAGCCTCGAAGAATCATTGCGATGATTCTGTTATCTGTTAGCATGCCTCAGCCTTGGCCGCTACCAGCTATTCCATAAGTTCGCCTTTATTACGTCCCCTGCAAGCGTATAAATAAGGACGCAGTCGGTCTATTTTGCAATGTATACACATACATGTAGCCGCTGCGCAAGCTGGTAGTTGACCTGTAATCTAGAAGGTCAACACTGGTGCAAGCGTTATCAGAAAGCAGAATACCCTCAAGCTAGGCATTCATCGAATCAATCAATGCGAACAGATCAATACTGACATCTGATTTTCCGAGGTGAATCCACGTTATCGTTTTGTGCCATACCGGAAACTACCACGTTGGCATGAATATCGCTTGTATACGTCCTTCGGCGTTCCGGATGCGCTTGTGTACGTTAATGGAAGTCAGTTCACGACACAAATTCTCCCAATTCATCGGAAAAATGACATTGCACTAATCTCTTCCGTTTCTTCCACATTCAAATTCAAAGGTTCTTGGACACTTTCGAACATCCACTGACCAAGTCAAAGAGGAAGACGGTAAAGGACGTGATTTCAGATAGTTTCCATTGGAATAGTCGGGCTATACCGAACCTATACTCGGATAGCCGTCCTCCCGTTGAAATCTTCATAGCTGAGACTAATGTATGATGCTATCTCGCAGTGTAGCACAAACCCCCACGTTGTTCCGCAAGACAGCAAGGTTCCTGCCAGGAGATCATGGGCAACTATTGCCCTGGTCATGCAAACTGGATCATCGCACAAATCTCAAAAAATAATTGCTCGTGTGATCTACAAGGACCAAGTGGGTCTCTTTTAGTTGATGTGGTGCATCCACCAACCGCCCCGAACAGACCGTCCAGTGTCCATTGCTTACTGGGACTAAACCGTGCTGGGAACTTTCAGCTTGAAGACACTCTATCCGCAGCTATCGTTCCACCAATGACGGTACGATGCAGCCAAGACGGCGGGCTGATCGCGTCAGCAAACAGTCGATTGGTTTTCAAGTTAATCCAACGTAACAATCTTGAAAGCCAGTCATATTCAGCGTGAGATGTCAGGAAGGTCAAATTTTTTTGGAAGTAAAAAGGATCGAAAAACTTCATAATTTGCTAAATAAAATAGGTTTCACTGGGTAGACCTTTGANNCTTTGAACCCCGATGATTTGTTCAGATGGCGTATTTAACCGGTGGGTCAGACGTTTCTGATCGATCAATGATTACAAACGATCCAGAACGCACAAAAGGCTACAAACAGACGGAGTTTTCATGCATTTCTGGCACACCTTTCTTTCCTTCTTATCATAGCATTTTATCCTTTGCACCTGTTTTATTTTTCTGCTCGGACAAATCTGCTGTACTTCTCATTGCGTAACAGATTGTGAACAGCTTGGTTTGATTACCACTGTACTATCAGGTTTGGTCCAAATACGGGTTTATTTTGCGTGACTATTTAAAGTTCGATAACTGGAAACCGTTCCTCGGGGGATCAGAATTCGGTAAGGCTACTTGGTGTTTGTCGTGGCGGATCGGTCGGTCATCTTTTCGAACGCGATTCAGCCTCTACGTTCTCTTTTTGTAAGCCTGCGAGTCACATTAGAGTGCAACCTATCTTGTAGACTTGTGCTAAACAGGGCGT